TTATTTAACACTGCTGCCCTCTAGTGGTTAAATCGTGTAATGTTTATTACTCATTAAATGATTTAACACTGCTGGCCTCTAGTGGTTAAATCGTGTAATGTTTATGATTCATTAAATTATGTAACACTGCTGCCCTCTAGTGGTTAAATCGTGTAATGTTTATGATTCATTAAATGATTTAACACTGCTGCCCTCTCGTGGTTAAATCGTGTAATGTTTATTACTCATTAAATGATTTAACACTGCTGCCCTCTAGTGGTTAAATCGTGTAATGTTTATGATTCATTAAATGATTTAACACTGCTGCCCTCTAGTGGTTAAATCGTGTAATGTTTATTACTCATTAAATTATTTAACACTGCTGCCCTCTAGTGGTTAAATCGTGTAATGTTTATGATTCATTAAATGATTTAACACTGCTGCCCTCTAGTGGTTAAATCGTGTAATGTTTATGATTCATTAAATGAGTTAACACTGCTGCCCTCTAGTGGTTAAATCATATAATGTTTATGATTCATTAAATGATTTAACACTGCTGCCCTCTAGTGGTTAAATCATATAATGTTTATGATTCATCAAATGATGTAACACTGATGTAACGCTGCTCCGGTCTGTCTTTGTTCATCCTGCATCGCTCTGTTCTGTTCTTTAATGTAACGTTACTGGAGCGACGGAGCCTCTCCCAGCTGTTAGCAGACTGCTGCGCTAGCAAGCAGGCTCGCTCGCGAGCTGTACCCAGCATGCAGTTCGGCGGTGAAATTTTATAAATGTACAATTATTAGTGTTACAAATTGTTTAGTATTTAGCATTAGTTGTGGGTTGTTAATTGTTGTGTTATAAAGTTATGACCATGACTAGGGTTCCCTCTCAATACATATAAGAAAACTAGCGCTGACCGCTGTGCATTAGCAGCAAAGAATACATTTAGCTGCCTGTTGAAAGCAGACAGGAGTTGTTTTGGCTATGCACCGGTATAATGGTGTGTGAAGAATTCGTATCATATGGGAAATTAAAACCGGTATACTGCCCAGCTCTAGTCTTTATTATAGTTTGGACAATTTTGTACTAATATTTTTAACGGGCCGGATTGAAAAGCCCAACGACCGTGGTTTGACCATGCCTGGGCTAGCGGCTAGCTGAGTGTCTTCTTCTGCTTATTGTAGCTTGTTAAACAACTGACTGACGCATTACCGCCACCAGGTGGTGGGAAGCTATATTGTAACTGAGCGTCTCATGGAGAACTGTAAGATCTCTGGTGTCTTCAATTGATAACCTATGCGGCCCTCGCGGCCCACAGGTGCAAAACTGAAAGTTTTTTGCGGCCCTCTAGGTGGCGTTCGCGGTTAAGAATCACTGCTCTAGACTTTATTACCCTTCCAGAATTCGTCTTTGCTACTTGTTTGAGTGCATGTGTGTTCGGCAGAAGAATAGCTAAAGGGACATGCTGCAGTCCGGCTGAGTGGATTAATGCGCTGCATTAAAGAGGTGTCAGGAAGATAAATGAGCCTTGTGTTTTTGCTTGGCCAGAGCCCTTGGGCACCTTTGGCAAAATGGCTCTTTCTGCACTGCAGGCCGTCTGTCAGTCACAGCTACACCTTTCTTCAAGTATTTCTTGTGATGGACTGTTTGCTAACAAGGTCAGCGACCCTGCTGTGTTGGTGATTTAGTTTTTTTGAGATGTTTCAGCACAATGCGAGGGTCAGAGGAGGAAAAGGGTCACGACACCTGCGCATTGGGTAGCTTATGTGGATTATGCTGAACTCCCCTTTACAACTGATAATTACAAATGCAAGTCGCACCCCAGCCGAAGGGCTCTTCATTTAATTTAAGGACCACCTAACCCGTCCGTTCTGACTTTGCCACCAAACTGAGCCATCTTATTATGAGCACAAATCCCTGAAACAACCCATATCATCCTGTTTAACAAGGGTGATTTAGCATCCCCCAGCTCTCTCTCTCCCCTCCTTCACTTTCATGACAAACTCGTCCAAGATCCCCTGCATTGCTGCAGACATCCAAACACTGCAATCCCCGCCACCCAGAGAGAGAAAGAGAGAGAGAAGCTGGCGGTGTGAAAGATACAGAAGCAGGATTATTACAGTATTTGTCTCCTACTGAGGCCTTTCATTGCAGATAATGGGGGTGGGGAGTTGGGGCATGCACTATGGAGAAATGGGGTGGTTGTGAGTGTGTGAAAGAAAAAAAGGGGGAAAGCCATTCTGCAGAGTGCAGGTCGGCTGCAGATATGAAAGCAATGTGAGGAGAGCGGGAGATACCTCGATAAACCCTCACTCCCCTGCTTGTCTCTCTTCATCTGGATGAAATCAGTGACAAACAGACACCCACCAGGAGGCACATTTGAATATGAACACGGTGATCACTGGAGGGGAATCACGCTGTCGCACAGGTAACTTGCTCTCCACTCGACTGTGCTTGTGTGAGCAGCTCACACATTCAGTGGCAAATTCAGTCAGAGCAACACTAAAAACACTACATTATTTTCACTCCTTTTTTGAGTTAAACTGAGGTTTTTTTTGTCATTATGAGTGAACTCTAGTGCGAAATAGTTTGAACTTCTTTCTCTCAACCGAAAGCAAAGAGAGAGACAGTAAGAAGCACAAAGGTAAGTTAAGGTCATCTTGTGTTATCCAACGTACAGCAAGCCTTCGCCTGGAAAATGTGTGAGCCATTGAACAATATTTATCACAGATATAACGCAAATAGAAATAGTACCACAGATGTGTAACATAGATAAAAATATTCAGCATTTCTGTCTTTGTCTTTTGTGTTGATGGTCTTGAGCCCTCCAAGAGGTCACAAGATAAACCTGAGAGGTGGCTACGTGGTTTACAGGACAGGAAAGAATAGAGAACCTAAACACCTGCTACACAAAGCTATATCTTTTTCTGACTGTTCTCTAATCGTGGCTTGGTTCTTGTGAAAAACATCATACTTTTGCCTTTTTAGAACTATAAACGTGATCATGTTGAGTCAGTGTGGGAGGGAAAAATCCAAATTTGGTGGAACAACTCATTAAATCAGATTTTCATGATTTTTTTTTTTTACTCTCTTTTAATATAGATATTGGAATCTGCCTCAAAAGTGCAGCTCAAATCTTATCTGAATCTAGTCAGTTTGAGACTCGAGATAAAATGAGCACGATCAAAGCACTCGATGAAAAGATAATATCATTCCATGTTGTAGTTTCCAAGAACCAAAAGCTACTCTGATAATATGCAGCCTTATACAGGCAGACGTAATAGCATGGACACAAGTGTTGCAAAATGTCATTTATGGGAATTTTGCACATTATTATTTCATATGAAATTGTAGCAATTACATTATGCAAATGTATTTATTTTATTGATTGTTTTTTATTATGTTGTTTATTACAAGTGAAAGTTGCCCAAGGTGAGTGAGTAGCCTGCAGGGTAAATCATAGTTTTACTATCCACTTTCCTTTTGGTGACCTGTGCTTGACTCAGACTCGTATTTTAAAGATGCAGTGGGGAACATTTCCTCTCTTGAAGTGGAAAAACCTCTTTCTCACACACACACAGGCAGATGTACTCACCCTGACCCCCATGAAGCGGTCTCTAAGTACAATCCAGGACAGCAGGAAGACGAAGGCCTTGTTACAACAGAAGAGCGCCGACACGTCTGTTGTGTTGATCTTCCTGAGGGCCTGCAGGTACAGGTAGTTGGTGAGGATCCACAGCAGGCCAAAGGGAGCTACCTTGGTGAAAAACACCTTGGGTGTGAGCCCGTCGTCCCCGAAAAACCTACAGCACTCCCTGTGCAGAGACATGATGCAGAGCAGCGTCGGAATATTGAAAAATGGGGTACAACTAATTTAAGAGTTGATAAATGTTATTTGCGATCTGGGACTTTAATCAATATTTATGAACACAAACAGCTCTGTCTGAACAAATGATACCAGAGAGACCAGAGCCTCTAATCAGTGGTGAGTGTGTGAAGTCATCCCCGTTTTAACATCTAAATATTGAACATTGCTCCACAGTGCATTTGGGACCGAGAGAAATTAGTAAATATTTACGAACACAATTGAATCTGCCACAAGGCGATAAAGTTAAATATTTCTGAGCTGTTTCCATTAATGAAATTAAACGATTTATTGTGTTTACATAGGATTTGTCTTTTAATATATTATATACATATGCAAATGTTGCATATGCTCATTCCAACTAGACATACTTTGGAAGCAGAACTGTAACTGGTCAACGACAAACAGTCAGCCTGGTGACATTTTGTTATCTTGAAGAAGCGATGGAACTGGTCGTATACTTTTCAGTGGATATCGTCTCTAATTTCCAACTCAAGTCTGGACTTGATTCCTGTCTAGAAGAGTGTTTAACTACACACAAGAAGCTGTCGGCTTTCAAGTGTGTCAAATCAAAAGTATCGGTATCAAAATACTTGAAAGTGATGCTGTCGACTCTGTTGTTGTGAAATGTTCTAATCAATAAGACTTTGAGCAGCATCACTCTGGTGTGATGCCAAGAAAAATACGTCATAATGTAACATTGATGTATTTTCGCCCCTTTGTGCCAAAGTAGCACAGCGTTTTTGACTGTGCTCCTGAGTTTCACCGTTTACTCAGAAAGCTGCTGGCTCTGGGAAAGTGATGAAGCAGCAATAGCTGCAGGAGTGGCAGGTGGCACATTTGTAAGAGTCCTTGCTGGATACTGAGGAGCAGCACTATTATGAATCAACTCCAGAGGGCTGAGTCAGCACTACACACTCCCTGATTCGGTGGCAATCGCATTAAAGTCTGTCATCATTTCATTACAGACACTGGATACGCCACCTTTGTGGTTTGTTTCTGCTGTACCCGTAATCTGCATTGATTTTAGAAAGACTCCCAGCTCTACAGCTGTGTCGAGGAAGCTGATTTGAAACCATGTAGCAGCTCATGAAGTCAACATACACTTTAAAGACACTGCATTTCAAATCAAAATATTTCAAATTAGCATGTCGGACTCTGGTGGACCTCATTTGTATTTGGTTTCTTTGGTATTGAGCAAATTAAAATCAGCAATAGAAGTGATGACATGTCTTTGCCTTTACTCTGGTCTCCGTTTTATGTAAAGAGACAGGACGACTGTTACAAATGTCAACTCTTGGTCTCTATTTCTCATTGTCTAAGATTCACCAGCAGGTGCAATTTGAATAAACACAAAGAAAACGAGTGCTTGGTATTCGGAGCACATCAGCTCCGGACGAGGAGTGTGAGCCCCAGATCCTTGCGTAAGCCCTCCAAGAGTCAGAGCCACATCACAGAAGTGCATCACAAGTGCAGAGCCAATCCCCCCCCCCCGGCTCACCCGCCCACCACACCTTCCAAATACTTCCACCCTCTTTGTGCCAAAGTAGCACAGCAGGTTGCAGCGATAAGACTTTTTTTTTCTGAAGATCCCGATAAATGGACTGTTTCAAGTGTGAAAACACCGCTAACACACTTGGGATTTCATACTTTCTGTTTGCTGCAGCAGCATAACTGGAGGTGGCATAGGAACCGGATATTCCAAATGAGGTAAATGGTGGTGCTGTGTTGAAAATCAAATGTAAACAGGGAGTGATTGTGCATAAATAACCAGGCAGCAAACATGGAGGGTAAACACCTCTGTTCGTTCAGTGAGATCATCAATTATAAGACTGACGTTAAGTAGCTGGCCTGTCTTGTGACCCTTTCTGAGGCTCTTGACCCTGTGTTTGGAACAGCGGCATTCACAGCAAGTCTTTTCAACAATCTCCACAGAATGTGTCTGAGCATTTCAGCTGCATCTGTACGAAGAAGACTAGTTAGACTTTTTGTCATCAACTTTCCAGAAAATGATTTCTAATGACTGCGTTGGATTCTGGTCTACTGAGGCTGTTGCTGATGGGGAAATTGCTTTCTTTTCCAGTATGTGGAATAGTATGATAAAGTCGGTGCATCATCGGTGAGTGTTTTATAGAAAACAATTCCCTTTGACTGTGGTTGACTTCACTTTCACAGTTGATAATTTCCTCTTAGTGATTTCTGTTGTAGCTGCAGAATAAATATTTGTGTGTTGTGCATATTTGGCTTGTCAGGCCTTAACAATAAGAAGAACTTTTAGCAATGAAACTTTGTTTTACTTGTGTACAGTGTTTTAGTGTGGATAAGAAGTAGACCCCTATGCAACAATATGCGTGTTATTTTCCCCCTAGTGGTACATTGATGCATTGTCAGCATGACGACTACGCAACATTGTTCAGGACGCTGACATTCAGTTGTGCTGTTGCATTTGATTGCTGTTGATCCCAACCTAAATGAAATGTCTGTTTCATTTTAGTATTTTCCAACTAAGGAACATGGCAAAAACCAGACCCTTACTTCAAGTTTTGGAAAAAGTCAGCCATGCTTTTATTACATCATGCCTCGACTACCGTAACACCTTGTTCACCTTATTAATCTTTACACCAACTGGTCCAGGAGCAGCGAGGCTTGTTGACAAAACCCAAACGTATACTGCACACAAACACAGTTTCAACTACTCTCAACTGGCCCCCTATGAGTTTTAAGATTGATTTTGAAATTGTACTTTTGAAATACAGGATATTGCAAAGTCAGAAACCTTAAAGGAACAGCCTCCCACAACATCTCATAGAAGCCAAATCAAAACCCCTGTTGTATTTTGACTTGCTCGCTTGCATGCACTGAGAGTCTTCTTACCTGAACCTCTGTCTGGCCGTCTGCCTCTCTGGACTCTTGCACAGATGGCCGATGTAGTAGAGCGGGAAGAAGAGGCAGTTCCAGGAGGTGGCGAACCAGGTGAGGGTGAAGGGGGCGTCGAACTGCTTAAAGGTGAGCTTGGCCAGCTGGGTGGACCCGGCCCAGGAGGAGCACACGCATATCACCATGGCCACCCCCCACAGGGCCTTCCGCACCTGTACGGTCGTCACTCTGATGCAGAAGTGGAGCTTCCGCTTGCTGGAGCCGGACTCCACTCCGGCCGTACCGCCAGCCGACTGAGCTTCTGTGGGGCCCACCACATTCTCCTTGGGGCGGTCTTCTCCTAAACATGAACACATACATGATAGATTGAACACACTGATAGTGCCAGTTTGTTCTATGATCAGGAATGTTATATTTTATATTTCTTCAGAAGAGGGAATTGTGCTTTAGAGTTCCCACATCAAACCAATCTGATTCAGGCACAATTTCAAACTAAAAACTAAATTATGCATATGTACTTATTGTGTTTTTACAAGTTCAGAAGCTCCTTAGAAAATATAGTTTAGCGTTATACATACAGTAGCATTCTACATACAGTATAATCACTCTTTGTTTATCTCTTGTCGTAAGAGGCTATAGGAAACTCTCTTCTGTGTGTGAATGACTTCAGGTCACCCATGTCTTGCCAAGTTTTCTGGCTAAAGATAGCTTCTTCCACAGTTTAATTGAACTTGAAGGTAATCAATCAGACATCCGAGTTAAAAATGTGGTGATCAAGTGTGACAGGCTGTAGCCAAACAGAGGACAGAAGAGGGCAGATCTGATATCCAATCCAAGGCGACCTCTTCTCCACCTCGTGAGTTACAATCACGTGTGTGTGTGTGTGTGTGGGTGTGTGTCTATGCGTGTCCTTTTGTGTGTGTGTGTGCGTGCCCCACAGTGCCCAAAGGCACACACAGCACTGCTTAGCTTTGCTATTGCTCCCGTCACAACCTGATAGCCTCGATACATCTTCAGTAATGTGTGAATTGAGGCAAAGTGTTGACGTGCTGTTTTCTGTCCCACTCGCACCCACTCCTGTGCGTCAAAGCTGATTCACTTACCTCGAGTCATTGAACTTACTTATGGATACTGTGTTTATTGTGTCCTCCAAACAATGCAGTTATAACTGTATAATCCTGTGCCGAGGCATAGAAGCTAAGAAGCTCAAACACAACCTAACAACAGAGATATTATTCATTCATACAGCAGATCGTCATTCTCTCAGCCTCCCTCTATCTAACAATGACATTGTGTATAAACGATTCTTCAACATATCTTTGCTAAGACTGTAGCGAACATCCACGGAAGGATGACAAACCTGAAATGTCAATGACACAATCTGAACTAATAAGCTCTCTCCAGAGACTGCTCTCAGGACACTATATGTCACTTAGTGGTTGAAATCTCAATTTACAATGTGCCTGGACATACTCAGAGGTTGAGTCCACCATGTTTTATGACTCTGACGTTTTTTTTTACGAGCATCTACATTTCCGAGGTACACAGAGACCGATCCAATTGTGACTAAACGACTTAAAGCAACTGATTTGTGACGCAACATGTACTTTAACTGCTATGTTATGCTGAGCTAACATTCATTTCCATTAATTTATTATGCATATAATAAATATGTATATCTAGATAGGTCTGTCATGATAACAATGTCTTTCTATGTTGTTTAATTCATTCTGTATGTAATTGATCATGTTTTATTCAGTGATCTAACAGTTTGGTACCTTTCTGCAGCAGTCCTGTACACATTGCGAAGAACTCTGTAGCAACCCTGAGATTAAGATTCAATTGATTATTATCAAATCTTGAAGTTTTCCCTATTTATCTCAAATTGGGTGGCGTCCTAAATTTAATTTTGTGTTAAATTCTGTTAGTTAAACTAATGGTGTCTTATGGCGTAAGCTGAGTACCATCATTCTTTTATACTAATTTATGGGTACATAAATCATAATTTAATTATTAATAATCATTACATATCTTGATATTCATTCATTCTTATTTATTAAATCTACCAGCAACAACGCTACAAGACTATAAATAATTGTATTTGTATTTAAGCCAAACAGAGCCTCCAGCTATACTTTCACCACAGAGAACAAAACTACAAATCACAACTTTTCAATCAGCGAATTGAGGGGACCACACAGGAAACCACCTCGTATATCAGCCCTGTTTCATAACGGCTGCATAACATGCACCATGCGCCTTCTGTAGCTTCCCGCCTTCCAACAAAACAGAGGGATCTCCCTAATGGTGCTTCCAGAGGTAATGATGTGCCGCAGGGAGTCTTTTGCCTATTCATCTTCACTGTACACTGCTGACTGCAGAACGCACTTCAAAAAGATAACATAAATCTAACTTAAGTTGGGGTTTTACTGTGAAAGTTGTTATTGTATGGCATGAACAGGACACTGAACTCATATTATTTTAGTTGGCTGTGTTAGTTTATCATATAGCTAACACTGATGAAACTGTCTGCCTTCATGTTATTGAGATCAGTCAAAGGGACACCTATATCTTCTTTATAAGCAGCTTGCTACATATTTTACAGAACAGCTGTATCCATCACGCCCAATGAGACGACTCATTCTTCCTGGAAGAGCAGCTTCTGACCTTGCCGGGGGGCCGCAGATTAACATCCCCGATGCCTATCGCCTCCCATGCTAATGCCCCGGCTTCCCCCGGCTCTCTGCTGAATGCGCAACAACAGATTTTTATTTCTGTTCATCTGCTGTGAAAATGTGATGCAATTAAGATGAAATTGTGCTGCATTATTTGCGTATCTTGAACAATGCCTCCTGCTCCTGAGAAAGAAAAAAAAAAAGCAATTGACAGCTCTTACATTCCTGCGGCAAATTTGGCAGCAATGAAAGTTGATTCAAGATCATTGAATCTGTTCTTGTGATGAAATGATGAATCAGCAAGGACCAGAAAAAGAAAAGAGCCAGACGCACATGGATGAGAGTTAAGTTTCTCTATTCTGAGCTACAAGCCTCTTTGTCTTGTTCTGAAGGTCATGTCTTGTTTACGCCGACCAGTTTTTGTCCTTCCTGGGCCTCCGTCCCACATCCCGTGGCCCTGGCCGCTGCTCCATACTGCAGCACAGTTTAATCTTCCAAATGCAGTGATGGGCCAAGCCAATCAGCCCCCAGAGTGGCCCTGGGGCCCAGCCAAGCATTTCCAGCGCTGGCCCATCTGAACACACTGAGTGAAGTGTCATGACAACATTAAGGGTCCTGTCACACCTCAAATACGCTGTTACCGTAATACTCCAAAGATAATATGTTATCAATGTTATTAAATGAAACACGGTTGCATAAATTATTAATTAAAGCTTCTATGATTTAATGCTGAGGCGTCATTCATTTGTTACCCAGTGACTTGATGGTAATGCACTTGTCTCTTGAGCCTGACGGTGACTAATGATACTGTATCAACCTTGAAAGCCGTCGATGAACAATATGGAGCATTGCTGAACTCATCAGTGTGAGCTGGGTCAGTAGAGTGGCTGTGTGAGATAGAAAGGCTCCTCCGCTAACGACATTTGAAGCCATTACTACCATAATTGAAACACCTGGAAAGTGTAACCTTCTTTAACTGCTAAATGATTAACTGAAAGCTCTTAACCCTTATCGGTTTGTAATCAAATGTCAACTGTCAAGGTCAGACATGACTGCGGTAAAAAGCAGGCACACGGAACCTTTGGTTTGATTAAGTGTATTTGTTTTATATCTAATAATTAATCTCAGCATTTCACATGGTAAAACAGATAAGGATTAGGTGTAATTGCAGATTACTGTATTAACTGAGATGCTCAATTCAACACGAAATTAAAATATCTCTGCTCATTCAGCACAATCTATGTCCAGATGTGCTTAACTGAACCTAACAGGCATCTGCGAAATCACTGGAGACAGGAAGAAAGTGTTTAGCATCCTTGTAGGTCGAGATTTGGATCCAATCTAACAGATGTATAGACGTCTTCTACTCCTGAAATGCTTCCATCTCAACCACTCAGCCTATCAGGTAGAGGCGGTCTCAAGCAAAGAGAACGGGTTAAAAGAAAGTTTTTATGATACTTAAAGCATTTATGGAAAGAAAAGGATAACATTTCAGCACTGCTGGGTCTTTGTCACAGTGAACTGTACAATACTTTTTCCTTAATTAACATTTTTAGGAGGAAAATCCACTTCACCTTTCTTCACCGGTGTGTAAATCTGTTGACAAATCAGTCCATTTACCACTATAGGCACAGTAAATCAATCTTTAGCTTATTTGTTCATTTGTCTGCCTCTAGTGTTTTAGTACCCTGAGCACCTCGTACGGAGAGTATTTAATATACATTCTACTTCCAGTAGGGTCGAAGTACTCCGGTTGGTGTTTGGATTTATCCGGACTGTTTTCCAGTTTTTTCTCCCATCTGTGAATGCTTCCCTGCTTCCCGACCAGCCTCGTTCCCACTCGCGCTCTCCTCCCTCCCCCCTGCAGACTCTGCAGTGCAGATCTCTCCTGCTGATAGCTGCAAATCCCAAACGTGCCAGCGGAGCCCTGCCTAACTGCCTTTTCTCACACTTCACAAAGCCATGACAGGACAGGAAAGTCCAGCTATGTCTCTCTGTAGCTCCCTGAACAGGCCTCTCTCTCTGCCCCCCCGTGCTACAGATCAAAGATGCAGGCAGCAGTGACGATAGTGCCAGCCAGGCGTGCGTTGGTTCGCCGCCGTGGCCGTACAACTGTCGGGGCTGCTTCTCTAGGACCTCGAGTTAGAGACACCGAAGTAAGAGAAGTTTGTCTGTTTGTCTGTTTGGCGACACCTCCGTGGGAGTAAGAGTGCACTGCAGCTCTCTGCCTCAGTGATTCAAGAGGGTAAACAGATCAATCACCGATACACACTTCAAAGGAACCCTTCTCCTTGTCTTACTGTCTCTTGGGTCTCTGATGGTGATGAATATGAATTAACTGGTGCAACTTCCTCGTTCTGTCATGCTCATAATCAAACATTATACCCTGCTGTACATAACATCAACCATAAGTTTATTTTTAGGTGTAATAATCTAGATTTAAAAAAATTAAAGAGCTTCTTTGCACAAATGTAGGATATAAATAAGAAAACGCCTGTTCATCTTTGGCTGTCGCACGACATCAATCAGTGCATCAGTACTCTATAAAAATAACTCCTTCAATCCCATGTTGACCAACGCAGTTTGTCATTTCTGACATGTCAAAGTCTGAGCCTTACTGTTTATAAAGTAAGACCAGTTCTGGATATGTAAAGCAAGCTATAAACTACAAACGTCACACTACAGAAGGATGGGACTTTTATCCTGTCAGGTCAGACAGACAGGCTGAAGACAGACAGGCAGGAGTCACTGTCTTTGTAATGTCTAAGTCTGACATACAGTGGGAGTCTGTGATACTTGGCTGTGACAGCTTGGTCAGGCCAAGCTGACAGTCAGAGGCCTTTCAACTCACCAGAGCAGGCTCATCTGACAAGACTGTCTCGCTCAATAACACAACAGAGAGTCAGGCCGCAAACACACCCTGCTGCGTCAACCAGCTGATAGGTGGGACCACATGGGCGGAGGGGACAAAGGCCCAGGAGGGCAGACAAGGACAGGCCGACTGTTACTGATCCCACTCTCCCTAATTCCCGACCAGTTTCTCCTTCAACCTCAGAGGACGACGGAGCAACTTCCTTTACCGAGTTGCAAACTTGTTGTTTGTCACTGCCCTGACCTGCCCAGCTGGTTCAACAGATGCTCGCGATACAGGTCAATGCTGCGGCCCTCCGATGCCTCATTGGCTAGTGACACGACAAAACACTGGTGCAAGCAGGCCAGCATGTGTTTGTTTGTGTGTGTCCATGTACTGTGTGTTACAGCAGAGCAATAGTAATTACTCACTTTTGGTAGCGGGTACACTGCCCAAGAGTACGTCCCACAGTCCTGAAGCGTTCCTCCCTCCCTCCATCTTGCAGTCCGTTACAATAGTGACTGTAGCGTGATGAACCTGCAGTTTAACAGACTGGCAAGAGTCCCGGCACTTTCCGACACAAATCAATATTTAAAAGATTTGGCCACAGCGTCCCTGTTGAAGTAATGGATAGACAACCACCGCAGGTGTACACTCTGAGTGTCTGCACAAACAGCGGTTTTACTCCCTTCCTGCACCCCGAGGCCACTGATAACACATGAACTCCATCAGACGTACATGATGCTGACTTTGGACTTCACTATTTCCAGATACAGTTCAACCTTCCCATTACATCGCTGCTGTAAATGACCGTTACAGTTGACTGATACGTTTTTTTAACGGCATCAGAAGAATAAGTTTGTCCAACAAGATTTAGATGGAGTGAACTGCCAACTAAGGTTAAGATTTTTAAAGATTAAGGAAACACACGGCATGCATTTTTACTGACTCACACTGGTCACAATTACAAGAAACTTCTGTAGGGATGGTGTAAATATTTTGTTATTTCAGGTTTGTGATAATTAGCCCTATAGATCCACCAGAAGTGTACCATCTGGTCTACTGGCTGCATTACATATTTAGAGAGGATAGGCAGCTGTCCTGCATCCTAAAGAAATCTTTCGGATCAACTCCCTCAATTCAGGATTAGAGTTTAGAGCTTCCTCTTTACACATTTTGCCAGAGGATGTTGCTCAAAGATGAAACACTACGACACTGTTGCAGAAGGCACTTTCTTGTATGAAATACAAATGAGTTGTATGCGGCAAGGAAGTCGTGGCGGCAAACCTCAAATGAACTTATACGATGAATTGATTTAGCGCATAACATCAATCCATCTGCTCAGCTAAATCTCATTCATTACAATGAAACTGGTGGCTTTCTCTGCACACACACTCTACATTACATAAACCAGAGCAAAAGCTTGGCCTCACAACAAAATAAAAGCCCTGTCACAGTGTATTCATTGCACACTTATCAAGCAAGAAAGCCCCGTTTCACTTGCTTTTAAAATGATGTTAAAATCGTTACTCCTCCGACTACCCACAAAGTCAACTCCAATTACAGCCAGAGGATTAAAGTGAGACGTCACATTTTAAGGAGCTTCAACAGGAAATCTTCATAAATTCACAGCTGCTTCTGGGGATCTTTTAACACCACTGATGCAGGTTAAACACGTATGTACGTCTGTTTGACCTTTGTTTTCATCTCCATACTGGGGGTTTTGCTGTTCACACAGGCCTGAATGTACATTTACATACAAATAGGACGCAGGCAAACGAGATTGAGATGCAAGTTTCTATTTATGTCCCTTGTGAGTACGCTTGAAGGAAACATGTCATGTTATTTTTGTGTTATTTTTGTTTTCGTGCTCTCCCCCCCCCCCCAAATTGACAAAATCATTCATGTCTTAAAGTGGTAATCTCCCTCGCCCAGTGGTGAATGCTGCTGCTGCTCTTTTGCTAAATGCACATATTTTATTAATAAGATGACTATGAATCATGCACTGTGCACTAACAGCGGGGCAGACGGGACAAATCGACTGACTTTACATCCATCACTTCAAGCAATATCCACACAAAGCAACGAGTCTCATACTTAACATTGCTACATTTCTCGACACATCTTTAAAATCTTTAAGCACACAAAATAAAGCAAACTGCTTGACTGTCCAGAATAGCATGATAATCCATCTCACTGGGAAACACTGAAGATCCAATTTGATGCTAAATGAGTTCATTATCTGCACATTTCATCCTCTACTTCTGAGTGTGAACCGTCATAATTTGCTATCAGTCGATTGATGTGTGGTCAAGTTGCATGGGGCCCTGGAGAGAAGTTCAGCTCGCTCATAACTGAAGCTGGTAGAATATGACTAGCTTCCTCGGGGACGTATGTACTCTGAATCAGTTTTCAAAGACGCCTGTTCTGTTTCCAAGCGTGTAATGAAATTAAAGAGATTAAAGGGATTTTTATGAATTTCCCTGCCTATGACGACACAACACAGATATTCCCCAAAGACATATTTAAAGAGAAGTCAATAGGTGTCAACCATGGGCCGTTGGTTGGGTGGATTCATCACAAGAGCACATATAAGAAGAGATAAATACTGCGGATGAAGACAGTGAATCTTTGGTCACAAAACAAAGGCATTAAGGGAACACAGGACGACTCTGGGATGTGCTCAAAATTCCACCACTAAGTCTGATGTCAAAATTGATTGGTGGCGGTTCCACCTTTCCCTCAAAGCGCAAAGCCTGGCTGCATCTGACTTGATAGTTCCAGAAGAGATGTTACGAATGTAGAAAAAAAATACAATTCCATGTTCAAATCAGAAAAAAAAACACACCACCAGATTAGACTGCTGAATTTGGTTTTGCAGCTGACTATGTCGCAACATTTCCTCAATCTTGTTGTTTCTTGTGTTGTGGCACACTAATACTCTGTGCCACTGTGGATGTTAACTGGACACGAATAAAAGAAGAAAACAGAGAGACCACTGAAGATTGACGCTAAAAAATGTAACTCTTTGACAGTTGGTTATTAGTGATGGGAACAGAGGTTTTGGAGCCATGGTTACATAAACAGCGGAGTCTCTAAAAAATCTGTGTGTTGATCCGCTGTGGCCCCCCTGTGATTTCCTCCTCCTTCAAAGCAGCTGCTGAAATGAGGAGCCGTACATTCGCATCACAAACCCTACAGCTTTGACTCCCTTCAACAATTTACAATACTGTATCAACCACAACACACACATTTACAATCCTTTCTCTATCCTCAGCTCTTGTTACTTCTTAATATAGAAGCTTAAATAACAGCCTGCCATCGCAGCTTTTCTGAAAATAAAATATTTTGAGCTGACATATGCACTAATAAGCTTAACATCATTGGTTACCCAGCAGCAGTGATTATTCTGAGGTTATCCAGAATGCCTTAAAGTGAGTGAATATGCAACACAGTTTTAACAGCTAGCATATGGTTAGTTAATTCCATTTCTGCAGCGTCCATATGAAACTGCGGGAAGATTCCTCATTCATATTCTAGCAGCTGGTTGAGTCATAAATTATGAATAATGAAGTATTTTCATATTTTCACATTAGTAAAACTGTTGTGAACTCTCAAACAATAGGAGGTAGCATTAAGCATCACTGACAAGTCTTAGTCAGCAAGATCTGGGTAAGTTTTGACTCCCAAAACTACTGCAGCAGAGCAGAAGTATTGATTTTGTCTTCATAATTCACTTTTGTATTAAATATGATTTGAAAACAGCTTTTTTTCAGCAGCTGCACTGACATTTTGGCAAATTACCTCTTCTTGCTGTGGTGTCACAAGTTGACTGGTTGCCAACCGTGTTTATTCAAGCACTACTTTACTGCACTGCACAAAGTACAGCGACCTGCCGTGTAACATTTAGCTGATCAAACCAAATCATTTTTATTTGGAAGTCATCACAACCTCTTCGGACTACTTTCTTGCACCATGACATGTGTATGTGTGTTTTAATCCTACAAACATTTAGAAAATAATAAAAGTTATAGAGACAAGAATATGCAAATAATGCAAATTGATCAATTGATTTAAATCCTTTTTTTCCTTAAGTTGCCTGAGATATGGATTACTTCAGATGCAAAGCGTTAGAATGCTGTGAAATCAGCAGCCAATTCAGTGTTCTGTGCTTATGCCAAACACTGAGACATCCACTAGTCCTCTGTGCTGAGGGGGGGATTAAAGAATGCATAACATGCTTCTTTGCACAAGCATGAGGCTGAGGACATCGTTGTTATGAATGACACTATGCGTGTTCAAGATGTCAAGACAGGTGATTCAGCAACACACACACACACACTGAATCAGAGAGGAGTTGTGCCTTAATGATGTCAGCGAGAAATGTTGTAAAGGAGGTGCTCCTGCAGATCAGAGGGACTCTCAGACAAGGCAGGGAGACCTGATGTAAGACTGATAATGAAGCCACTAAAGGCAGACTGAAGACCATTAACATGTTTACTGGTGGTTCATGTCTCATCTGCTCTGACATGATGTTCTGGTATTCCAGCTGTGACTCTTGCAGCCATGGGTGGAGGGTGGAGGGAGTGTGAGGGGGAATCCCTGCTGCAATAACAACTTAAGATCCTCCCTATGGACCAGTAAATTTAGCACAGTGCTCATCAGCCCGGCATGAGCCCCCCCACCCAAACATTTTTTGAAAAAATCGATGCGTTAATGACAGTAATTCGGACAATGCAGGTCTATTACAGGCTACATTTGGGGTTTTTCAGCAACATCACGAGATGAAGGAAAATCATAAATAAATAATGTGATGCATTTGACGACTTCTATACAGAAAATTGATTGGGATGCTGTCCGATGTCAAATTGTTTGCAGAGCTGTTGCATCATAGGTTTAATTGTGAGTTGCGCGCTTGATTGATTCCCGTGTTGTTGTTTTTATCTCGCTCGCAGTAAGATTTTCTAAAGTTGACCCGTGTCATAAATTAGATAGGGGGGGGTAAACCTTGAGAGGAAAATATTCCGGCAGGAATCCTCTCTCCGTCAAATCAACAGAAGGACGCTTCTAAATTTAGAGTATTCTGTGTAAAGACATTACAGGCTGCATAACAGACAACACATGCACCAGCCGGGTTTGCGGGGCTGCAGATGTTCTAAATGATATGAACTCTCCCTACCTTCCACTTTGGTGAGGGTGAGCACCGGACTGTTGCAGGCGGACAGCGGGGCAACCCTTGCGGAGTGTTTCTTCATGACGATGAGCTCGGATGGGCTGAGCTCTAAACCGCTTCGACTACATCCCTGAAGCTGATTTGGTGCAGACACCAGACCACTTGATGGGACCCTTGATGTTCCTAGACCCGGTCTCCTGCTCTCTGTCCCCCCGCATCCATCCAACTCCCCTCTTGAAGATGTTTTTTTTTTTTGTCCTACCTCTGTCGTATCCCCCCACCCCCCTTCCTCCACTTGCCTTCCCCTCCTCAAATCTGCTGTATTCAGTGCGTCCTGGCTGGTCTCTCCTCACGTACAGTTTGGCAATTGCTGCAATTCGCCAACGTCACACATCCACCAGCCCCCCTTACAGTATCACCACCACCTCCCACCAACCCCTCCGTCCCGAGGCAGGTGTGCCCGGCTGTCCGAGCCCCCGTGGTTGTGGTCCCGCCTGGGCAGCGTGCAGGCACAGACTCTGTGACAGATATGATGGAAGCAATGCAGTACGGTGTGTGTATGTGTGGGGCGGTAGAGGTAGTTAAATAAATTATTAGGAAACGAACTAATCCTTTATTTGATCAAGGTACCGTGTGGAATCTCCAAAATTAACACTAATTTAGGGTCCCTAGGTTTTTTTTTATGCTAATGAATTTTGGTTTATGGCTTTCTTTTACACCCAGCTGAACAGAACAGCTTTTATTTTAGTTTTTTTAAACACTACAGTTATGAACATAATAGAATATTTTATTTCACCTCTTCCCACTCATTAACGTTAACCGTTTTGCAGCGCGGTTCGCGAGCAGGACATGGAGGTCCGCTATTTCAATCGAGCTCCTTTCCTCCGATTAATTTGCAAAAAAGTCGAGATACAGTAGAAACAGTAGGAGGAACTAAGTCAAAACAGTTGTTGTAGTCGAGCAGATGATGGTGAAACGGTTCCCCTGCACAAGCCACAAGCTTCGGTGAGTTAACGCACGTTTGACGGTTGTATTTCGCTGGTTTTGAGACGTCACCTGTTCGTTGGGTTCGCAGCAAAGGTATGTCCACGTAAAGCCATTCTAGCATTTTAAAGTGGTTTGCGAATGTCAAGAGTCGAAAGGGAAATGTGGATGTTTAAAATGTACGTTTCTTAGAACTATGCACCATGTTACCAAAAGAAAAAAAACGTGGATTTCTTCTAATTTGTAGTTCTTATGTTTTACTAATACTGCTATTAGAGTGTGTCAAAATGCTTGCGTTAACTGTGTTTGCACACAAAACCTACAACTTTGCCTTACTGAGAGAGTAATTTGTGTAGGTTTAATGTTTATTGTGTAAGATATTATTGCTTACTCAATATTGGGTAAGCTGAATTATACGTTTCTGTCTGATATTTGTATATGCTTAGTATATTTTGTAAGAATAACTTAAATTCTAATATTATTTGAAAATGGTGTCATTTAAACTAGAGCGTAACTATTATTATTTTCAATATGATTTTATAAGTTTTTGCATTGAGTCAGGGCATACTTTAATGATGTTATATTATTGAGTATGATACAACATAAGAGAAACATTCATGAAATATCAAGCAGTTCATGGACTATTAGCCTGTTTGTAATTGCAGGTTGGGTCTTTTATTGGAGGTCCAGTGAGGAAGATCCTCAGAAATTGTGAAGAATAATTAACGTGTGGTTTACAGAGTTAAAGACAAGCTTCTGAAAATGTCTTCACGGTCAAGTAAAACTTAATTATCCCACCAGGGTAAATTTGGTTGCAGCCAGGTATACATTCTTTATGAAAACATAATGACATAATGTAATAATCTTTACAAGTCACAGGAGCAAACACTACAAAGGTGAGATCACTTCAAATGAAGTGCAAAAAAACGTCTGAATGCAGAATGCTTTACGTGCTTAGGTGCCGAGACACACATGTTCACATTCAGGTTACTAATTGGTGTTTAAACAACAGATACATTGTATCTTTTTGTCCTCTGAGCAGGAACTGTGTATCCACAGCCTGAAGGTAGTAGCTCGAACTCAGGGCAGTCCAATATGTCCTTGGCCTTCCTTAGGACCTGCCACGGCTGACTTAGCCCAATAACTTTGCTGGCCACTTTGACAAGCTGGCCAAGCCTATTGGCCAAATTCAGGTTCCCAAAGCACACCCACAATACAGAAAGATGGAACAGACTCAATCAAATTCTTCTGTTGAACAGAGTCAACATTGTAGTGCACACATTGAAAGAGTTAATTTTTCTCAAGGAGTACGGGTGTTGTTGAACCTTTTTAGAAATTGCATGCACCTTTTAGTTTGGTTTCAAACACAGTACCGAAAACTTGTGATTTTCCACCAAGTAAATTTTATTCCTCTCAATATCTGTCAGTTTTGGGTCGGGTGCCGACTTCCTAAATTCAATGATTATGTCCTTGGTTTTTGACACGTGACACAAACTCGTCGACTACTGGCGCATGACCTTGTTCATCTCCTCCAGGAGGCTTGATATAACAGAATCATCGGCTTTATAATGTGTCTGGTCGGCTATTTACTTTGACAGCTGTTTGTGCAAATAATATAAAGGAGGGCAGACAGGACACCTCCTTGAGTTGAACCAGTGGAAGAGTGAAGCTTGTTGGTGTCCTTTCTAACAAGCTTCACTCTTCCACACATTCGGACTGGTCTGTCAAAAAGTCTAGAATCCATCCAGTGACATTAGGGTCAAGATTCAAATCGAAAAGAAGTTTTTCTGCAAGCAGATATAGTTGGATAGTATTTTTTGCCCAGTTGGGTGTTTTGTTTTTAACAAAGAGGATATGGACATTAAATGCAGATTTGAAATGGGATTTACAATACAAAAAGAAAGTTGAATTGAATGAAGGTCAGTAGGGAGATAAAAAAGAAAAATGCAACTTCAAATTTAAGTCCATTTATAGTGAATATTTACCTCATATTATCATTCGCATTTTATTTTCATTACCATGATAAAAGTATGTAAGATTAACATGACAACGACTGAATTACTCTACTGTGTACCATGTCTGTATGTGTGTACTCTAATCGTCAGGTTTTGCAATTTAGTGCAAATCGACGCATAAAGATTAGAGATGCACCCGTCCTGCTTTTTCTGTCCTACAGACTGTCCTGTAACTCAAAATACACCTCTTCTATTGTTGTGCTTTACTTCACTACTGCCATGATCAGACTCTACATTAGTACCTAAGCTGTTCAGAGTTTCCTGTCGGCTATGGTTTGTTGAGTGATTGAGACCTAAGTCCCAGCTGACTGACTGACCTGAGTCACAGTCCTGATAGCTTTCACTTTCACGTCACCCTTTACATGTCCTGTCTCTGACTTTGCCAAAGTCATCCCAGTCCCAATTGTACTGGTAAGTGTTGACATTGGCAACACATTGCCTCTTGACTCTTGTCTGTCAGGTCTTTCTAACAACCGCAGAAATTGGTTTTGAAACCTGAAGTGACAATTTAAAGCTTCACATCGAGCTTCATAATACTTTTTAAACTGAGAGCTGTCCAGCTCACTTTGTGGTAGAAAACATTGGGCCTGAAATCCTCTCTCTGTGTCTATATGAATTTTATTGTGTGTCTTGGTGAACATGTCATGTTTTTTTCTGTCTGTGTGTGTGTGTGTGTGAGTGAGTCCCATTTGGGCACAGCAGCTGCCACTTGAAACAAATGTTGTCAATGTTCAGCTTATATGGTCAGAAGATTCAGTTGGAGTGCGCATGCTATTATTGATAGAAAGGACAGGGGGGTGGAAATAGGTGGAGCGGGTGAGATCATTAAAAGATCCCAGTCAGTGACTCATATACTTTAATCTGTGAACACGGAGGAGGATCAAACCAGCCCATGCTCTGTGACGCCACATGACGACTTTCTCTTTCTGACACACGTATATGAATAGGGATAAGCATGTGTGAGCAATAAAGAAGTGTAAAAAGGTCGCCGCATCAGCACAGCCTTTCGAATCCGTATTTCTACCCAGAGACTGATGGAAGTAGATCCGAGAGGCGATAACTCTTCTATGCACAGACAGAGGGATGTACTAGTGCGCTCCAAAGAGAAGCTTTTCTTCAATGTTTATTCATGCCGAATAATGAGTGAGTGACATTAGCTGTTTTCCAGGTCAAATGTTCTTCAACTGCACCAATCAGTGCTGCTATTATGTTCCTACTGATGGTCGAAATCAACCAAAATTAGAGATGGAGTACTGGAACATTAGGGGATACGGCATTCGGAACAATGTTGCTGTTGGGTACCTATGGAGGAAAATTAGGCGGCTATATACAAAAGAGACAGATACATTATGAAAATGTTTCCTCGTAGCCAGCAAAAAGGCTATAACAAGACATATGTATGAGGCTGATCCTCCAGGGAAACAGTAATGGCTTAGTATTGCTCAGGAAATTTTCTTTTGGGCAATTTCACCTTTATTGGATGGCTGAGAAAAGCAGACTGGGAACCGGGAGAGACAGGGGTATGACAAGGTGAACAAGGGTCACCACACCTGCTGAAATTGAACCGGTGACATTGCAGTTCGTGCTGTTACCATTCGGCTATCAGGACATTACTAAGGGAATTACTTTTGATAGAAATTGGATCTTTTATATGAAACAAGAAGCATAAAACGAATATATAACTGTATATATGGAATAATAAGAAATGAGTGTTTCAAGTTCAAGTTACCACTA